TTGCACACAAACACACGAACATACACACATACGCATACATACACACACACACACAAACACACACATATATATATATATATATATATATATATATATATATATAACCATCATTGTTAATTACCTGAAGAGGCATTTGACATTTTATTTAAGCGCCGTAGCAATATGTGCAATTTTGTAGTAATTACGTACATTTTCTAATGTAACAATATAATATATATATATATATATATATATATATATATATATATATATATATATATGTGTGTGTGTGGGGTGGTGGGGGTGTGCGTGCGTGTATAACGATATATATTTTTATCAATCAGGAACAATATTAGAGAAAATGTATGACAAAGTTTTCTTGTGACCGGTTTATATATATATATATATATATATATATATATATATATATATATATATATATATATATATATATATATATATATATATATATATATATATATATTTATATATATATAATAATATAAAGAAGTAATCAACCAAAGAATTAATCAGTAATGTTAACGTAATTAATTGCGAAATCACTTCGCTAACAGATCAATAAAATATTAACTTACTAACAACTCTCAGAATGACGCAATCCTTATTTTTTTAAATTAAAAGATGGATTAGATGCTCAGTTACAAGTACTTTCGAAGAAATTCGCTCCTTCATCGTCAGATATTAATATGATTTTCATTTCAGGTTAAACAAACTAGACACACAGATGAACTGTGGATATATATATATATATATATATATATATATATATATATATATATATATATATATAATTGCAACTGAGTCATGAGTTCGATCCTCACTGGGTGCCCCATACTTTTGGCCTTGTGCCACATCTAGCTTGGCTTAGAAAATCGCTTAAGGGCACCTCAAAGCGTGTAATGGTTAGCAAGCTTGCCTCGCTAGAACAATTACAACTGAGTAGTGAGTTTGATCCTCACTGGGTGCCCCCTAATTTCGGCCTAGTGCCACATCTAAGCTATGCTTGGAAAATCACTATATATATATATATATATATATATATATATATATATATATATATATATATATATATATATATATATATATATATATATATATATATATATATATATATATATATATATATATATATATATATATATATCTTCAACAATTCATAAAAATAACTAAAATACTTAATCAAGTCAAAATACCCTAACACCAATTTCCGTGTTAAAATTCTTTTTTGCGATATTTTCAACTTAAAATAAGTTATATTTTTTAAAAATCAGATTAATTCGACGTTAAATCAACTGATCTTCTTAAAATAAACTATCAGAAAAGTATATTTTATTTTTGTAAGATTTTTAATAAAGAAAATCAAGGGGTGATGTCAGATTCCTTGAGATTCCTTATTTTTTTTGCAATTTTAACGATTTAAAAAAGTCATCCCTAGCAATTTAAATTCAGTTTCAAATACCTCAAAGTATTTTTGGAAATATTAAATTTAACCTATTAACTTGAAACTAAAACTAAAATAAAAGCTTCCAGAAAGATTTTTCATTTCTAAAAATGCATCTTAATCCTTTCGCTTTCTTTGGATGGTGTATATGTCTGTGAATATGCGTTTCTGTGTGTGTGTGTGTGTGTGTGTGTGTGTGTGTGTGTGTGTGTGTTAAAATATTCTTGTGGTGGTCGATGGAAGTGCGAGCAAAGTATTGGGGTAGGGGCGTCAATGATGATCCCTGAAATAAATTGATGACGTTCCGAATGTGGTCACGTGTCGGCCATTTTTGAGACGAAAATAGCAAAGAGGCGACGAAAGAAAATGAACGAGTGGGGGGTTTTTGCCTCGGAACGGAAGGGATTCTGCTTAATAAGATTGGCCGATGAAGAGAAGAAAAGACGGTGGAGGACATCAGATGGGTGTTGGGGGGGAGTCAGTGTGGAAAGTGACTAGATCCCCTAATATTCTTGAATAGAAAGAGACAACAGCGTGAGCTGATAACTAACCCAGAAAAGAATACCGAGTCAAAACACTCTCTACAAAAAGAAAAAGGATTTGGGATTTTTATTGTTACTCATGATATTAAATGCGTCTGGAGATTTGCCGAAGTCCGATGATATGGGATTATGTAGGCTCCTTATCCTTTAACCAGTTCGACCGACTATCGTCTTTTTTTTTTTACCATGTAGTGGCCTAAGAAAAGTTTTTAGCCAGGAGAAATAAACTACGTTCAATTCCAGAACGTTGCTGTGTCGGAAACCTACCACCCCTCTTGAAGATGAACTTGTCTGCGTCTGTGAACAAAGACTTTAAAGTGGCATGTCAGTTGACATAGGGAAGACAGATAGACAGAGAGGGTAAGACCTCCGAGTCTAGCTGAGTCGTGATACAGTCTTTGACTGTAAGCGACGTCTGTCGAACTCTCTGTGTTAGCAGAGAGGAACCCGGATGAAGCTTTGCCGAAGAGCAAGTATTCGTCCGGGGAGGTAGACAGGGCCTGAACCCGTCTAGGCGGGTTCAAAGGCTATATTTTTGGCCGGGCCTACGGGCTCGGAGATACCCACATTAAACCGGCCTTGTGCCATATTCAATCCTCGTGGGTGGATCGATAAATACTAAGACAGATAGACAGAGAGGGTAAGACCTCCGAGTCTAGCTGAGTCGTGATACAGGCTTTGACTGTAAGCGATGACTGTCAAACTCTCTGCGTTAAGGGCAAGATTTCGTCCGGGGAGGTAGACAGGGCCTGAATCTGTCAATACGGTTCTAAAAAGGCTATATTTTTGGCCGAGCCTACAGGCTCAGGGATACCCCACTAAACCGGCCTTGTGCATATTCAATCCTTTGGGTGGGTTGATAAATAGCGAGACAGATTGACAGAGGTAAGACCTCCGAGTCTAGCTGAGTCGTGATACAGTCTTTGACTGTGGCGACGTCTGTCGAACTCTCTGCTTTGGCAGAGAGGAAGCCAAACGAAGCTTTGCCGAAGAGGCAAGGTTTCGTCCTGGGACGTGAACAGGGCCTGAACCCGTCTAGGCGGGTTCAAAGGCTATATTACAGCCGAGCCTACGGGCTCGGAGATACCCATTAAACCGGCCTTGTGCCATATTCAATCCTCGTGGGTGGATCGATAAATACTAAGACAGATAGACAGAGGGTAAGACCTCCAGGTCTAGCTGAGTCGTGATACAGAGCTTTGACTGTAAGCGATGACTGTCAAACTCTCTGCGTTAAGGGCAAGATTTCGTCCGGGGAGGGAGCAGGGCCTGAATCTGTCAATACGGTTCTAAAAAGGCTATATTTTTGGCCGAGCCTACGGGCTCGGGGATACCCACACTAAACCGGCCTTGTGCCATATTCAATCCTTGTGGGTGGGTTGATAAATAGCGAGACAGATTGACAGAGAGGGTAAGACCTCCGAGTCTAGCTGAGTCGTGATACAGTCTTTGACTGTAAGCGACGTCTGTCGAACTCTCTGCTTTGGCAGAGAGGAAGCCAGACGAAGCTTTGCCGAAGGGCAAGGTTTCGTCCTGGGACGTAGACAGGGCCTGAACCCGTCTAGGCGGGTTCAAAGGCTATATTTTTGGCCGAGCCTACGGGCTCGGAGATACCCACATTAAACCGGCCTTGTGCCATATTCAATCCTCGTGGGTGGATCGATAAATACTAAGACAGATAGACAGAGAAGTTCTTAGCTGAGCTAGTTATTGACTACTCAGGCGATTTCTGTACCTTTTTACCAACCTATTAAAACCCTTTTTATTGTTACGTGTTATTTGGCGTTTGTCTCTACTAACCCCAAATCAACATCATAACAAATGTAATTACATAATCCCAACTCAACATAAATAAACAGTATTTGGAACTAGTATGAAGTTGGTCCTCCATTTGCTAGTTTCAGTCCTTGTATCTGATTTTACATGGATTTGATCAAGTTATTAAAAATCGTCAGGTCCATATTTTGCCACTCTTTTAAGCAATGTTTCTTTAAGGGTTGCCACTGACGTGATTTTGGTTGCACGCTCTCGAAGTCTTCAGTCAAGGTGTACCCAAACTTCTTCTACTGGATTCATATCAGGATTTTGGGCTACCCATAGCAGTGACTTGATTCCTTGCGATTCCTTCCAGGCCTTTGCTACTTTGCTCCTATGACATGGCGCTCCATCTTCTTGAAAAAGGAAGACATTATTGTCAATCTGATTGCTTTCAAATAGTGGGAGTATTCCTTTCTCTAATATTTGACAGTATTTTGGACCATTCAACCGCTTGACAACAAGAATCAGCTCAGATTTCCCTCCAAACCAGACAGCGCCCACACCATTATTCCAATCCCTCCATGTTTCATGGCCGCCTGCAGACATTCAGTGTTCCAAGTCTCATTCTGATTTCTCCAAACATAAACCAATCTCGAATTCAAATACTGGCAGAATTTACTTTCATCTGACCAAATTCGAAACTGCCACAATTCATAATCTTTGCTCTCGAATTCCCTCGCCCAGTCCATACGCCTGTTCCTGTTAACCTCTAAAATCAAGGGCTTCTTTCTTGTGGATCTTTTTTGATAGCCTAGACCTTTCAGTTTTTCTCACTGCATACGGCGATATTTCCATGCTGTTGGCACCATCTGATGATGTTCTTACGATGCCATTTTCTTTTGATCAGACACGATGCTTGGTCTTCCTGAAGGTTCCACACGACAATGGCCTTCTTCATTAAATTTCTTGTCAATGTTATTAATCGTTTCATGATTAACCTGGAAAAACAATTTTCTCTATTTAACTTATCACACTGATGTCATCCTATTATTTGCCCTCGTTGAAATTCACTAATTTCGTTACTTCCACAATTTTCTTTTTTTTTTTTGCAAAATATAAGTCAACTCCCGGTCATAGATGAGAGTAGCTTGATACTAACACGGTATTGTCATAAAAGCAAAGAAGAGACGTTATTACACAAGCCAAAATTGCTGTAATCAGGGGTGGCTAAAAACTTATAGCCCACTGACAAATTTAACATGACACTAGATCAGGCTACCAGAGACAAAAGCGAATACCAAAAGAAAGTTGAGGTCTTGGTACCCTCCTCTCTTCTTCAGCTGCCAGATCAAAAGGTTTCGGTCTTAGTAACCTCCGCTCTTCTTCAGATGCCAGATCACAAGGTTTCAGTCTTTGTACCCTCCGCTCTTCTTCAGCTGCCAGATCACAAGGTTTCGGTCTTAGTACCTCCGCTCTTCTTCAGCTGCCAGATCACAAGGTTTCAGTCTTAGTATCCTCCGCACTTCTTCAGCTGCCAGATCACAAGGTTTCAGTCTTAGTACCCTCCGCTCGTCTTCAGCTGCCAGATCACAAGGTTTCGGTCTTAGTACCCTCCGCACTTCTTCAGCTGCCAGATCACAAGGTTTCAGTCTTAGTACCCTCCGCTCTTCTTCAGCTGCCAGATCACAAGGTTTCGGTCTTAGTAACCTCCGCTCTTCTTCAGCTGCCAGATCACAAGGTTTCAGTCTTAATACCCTCCTCTCTTATTCAGCTGCCAGATCCACAAGGTTTTCAGTCTTAGTACCCTCCGCTCTTCTTCAGCTGCCAGATCCACAAGGTTTCGGTCTTAGTACCCTCGATCTTCTTCAGCTGCCAGAACACAAGGTTTCAGTCTTAGTACCCCCGCTCTTCTTCAGCTGCCAGATCACAAAGGTTTCAGTCTTAGTACCCCCCGCTCTTCTTCAGCTGCCAGATCCACAAAGGTTTCTGTCTTAGTACCCTCCGCTCTTCTTCAGCGGAGAGATCCTGGAGTTTCAGTCTTAGTACCCTCCGCTCTTCTTCAGCTGCCAGATCACAAGGCTTCAGTCTTAGTACCCTCCGCTCTTCTTCAGCTGCCAGATCACAAGGTTTCGGTCTTAGTACCCCCTGCTCTTCTTCAGCTGCCAGATCACAAGGTTTCAATCTTAGTACCCTCCGCTCTTCTTCAGCTGCCAGATCACAAGGTTTCAGTCTTAGTACCCTCCGCTCTTCTTCAGCGGCCAGATCACAAGGTTTCAGTCTTAGTATCCCCCGCTCTTATTCAGCTGCCAGATCACAAGGTTTCGGTCTTAGTACCCTCCGCTCTTCTTCAGCTGCCAGATCAAGGTTTCAGTCTTCTGCTGCCCCCGTTTCTCTTCTTCACTCTTCTTCCAGATCAAGGTTTCAGTCTTAGTACCCTCCGCTCTTCTTCAGCTGCCAGATCCAAGGTTTCAGTCTTAGTACCCCCTTCTTCAGCTGCCAGATCAGGGTTTCGGTCTTAGTACCCCCGCTCTTCTTCAGCTGCCAGATCACGAGGTTTTAGTCTTAGTACCCCCGCTCTTCTTCAGCTGCCAGATCACAAGGTTTCAGTCTTAGTACCCCCCGCTCTTCTTCAGCTGCCAGATCACAAGGTTTCTGTCTTAGTACCCCCGCTCTTCTTCAGCTGCCAGATCAAAGGTTTCTGTCTTAGTACCCCCCACTCTTCTTCAGCTGCCAGATCACAAGGTTTCAGTCTTAGTACCCCCGCTCTTCTTCAGCTGCCAGATCCAAGGTTTCAGTCTTAGTACCCCCGCTCTTCTTCAGCTGCCTGATCCACAAGGTTTCAGTCTTAGTACCCCCCGCTCTTCTTCAGCTGCCTGATCCCAAGGGTTTCGGTCTTAGTACCCCCGCTCTTCTTCAGCTGCCAGATCCAAGGTTTCAGTCTTAGTACCCTCCGCTCTTCTTCAGCTGCCAGATCAAGGTTTCAGTCTTAGTACCCTCCGCTCTTCTTCAGCCAGATCCAAGGTTTCGGTCTTAGTATCCCCCGCTCTTCTTCAGCTGCCAGATCCAAGGTTTCGGTCTTAGTACCCTCCGCTCTTCTTCAGCTGCCAGATCACAAGGTTTCAGTCTTAGTACCCCCCCCGCTCTTCTTCAGCTGCCAGATCACAAGGTTTCAGTCTTAGTACCCCCACTCTTCTTCAGCTGCCAGATCACAAGGTTTTGTCTTAGTACCCCCGCTCTTCTTCAGCTGCCAGATCACAAGGTTTCAGTCTTAGTACCCCCTCTCTTCTTCAGCTGCCAGATCCACAAGGTTTCAGTCTTAGTACCCCCCGCTCTTCTTCAGCTGCCAGATCACAAGGTTTCAGTCTTAGTACCCCCCGCTCTTCTTCAGCTGCCAGATCACAAGGTTTCAGTCTTAGTACCCTCCGCTCTTCTTCAGCTGCCAGATCAAAGGTTTCAGTCTTAGTACCCCCGCTCTTCTTCAGCTGCCAGATCCACAAGGTTTCAGTCTTAGTACCCCCGCTCTTCTTCAGCTGCCAGATCCACAAGGTTTCGGTCTTAGTACCCCCCGCTCTTCTTCAGCTGCCAGATCACAAGGTTTCAGTCTTAGTACCCTCCGCTCTTCTTCAGCTGCCAGATCACAAGGTTTCAGTCTTAGTACCCCCCGCTCTTCTTCAGCTGCCAGATCACAAGGTTTCAGTCTTAGTATCCCCCCGCTCTTCTTCAGCTGCCAGATCCAAGGTTTCAGTCTTAGTACCCCCCCCCGCTCTTCTTCAGCTGCCAGATCACAAGGTTTCAGTCTTAGTACCCCCCGCTCTTCTTCAGCTGCCAGATCACAAGGTTTCGGTCTTAGTACACCCCGCTCTTCTTCAGCTGCCAGATCACAAGGTTTCAGTCTTAGTACCCCCCGCTCTTCTTCAGCTGCCAGATCACAAGGTTTCAGTCTTAGTACCCCCCGCTCTTCTTCAGCTGCCAGATCACAAGGTTTCAGTCTTAGTACCCCCCGCTCTTCTTCAGCTGCCAGATCACAAGGTTTCGGTCTTAGTACCCTCCGCTCTTCTTCAGCTGCCAGATCCAAAGGTTTCAGTCTTATACCCCCGCTCTTCTTCAGCTGCCAGATCCACAAGGTTTCAGTCTAGTAGTACCCCCGCTCTTCTTCAGCTGCCAGATCACAAGGTTTCGGTCTTAGTACCCTCCGCTCTTCTTCAGCTGCCAGATCAAGGTTTCAGTCTTGGTACCCCCGCTCTTCTTCAGCTGCCAGATCCAAGGTTTCAGTCTTAGTACCCCCCGCTCTTCTTCCGCTGCCAGATCCACAAGGTTTCAGTCTTAGTACCCCCCGCTCTTCTTCAGCTGCCAGATCCTAGGGTTTCAAGGTTTCGGTCTTAGTACCCCCCGCTCTTCTTCAGCTGCCAGATCAAGGGTTTCGGTCTTAGTACCCCCCCGCTCTTCTTCAGCTGCCAGATCACAAGGTTTCAGTCTTAGTACCCCCCCTCTTCTTCAGCTGCCAGATCCTGGGTTTCAGTCTTAGTACCCCCCATCTCTTCTTCAGCTGCCAGATCACAAGGTTTCAGTCTTAGTACCCCCCCTCTTCTTCAGCTGCAAGATCCACAAGGTTTCAGTCTTAGTACCCCCGCTCTTCTTCAGCTGCCAGATCACAAAGGTTTCGGTCTTGCCCCCCGCTCTTCTTCAGCTGCCAGATCACAAGGTTTCAGTCTTAGTACCCCCGCTCTTCGCTGCCAGATCACAAGGTTTTGGTCTTGGTACCCCCGCTCTTCTTCAGCTGCCAGATCACAAGGTTTCAGTCTTAGTACCTCCACTCTTCTTCAGCTGCCAGATCAGTTTCAGGTTTTGTCTTAGTACCCCCGCTCTTCTTCAGCTGCCAGATCACAAGGTTTCAGTCTTAGTACCCTCCGCTCTTCTTCAGCTGCCAGACCACAAGGTTTCGGTCTTAGTACCCCCGCTCTTCTTCAGCTGCCAGATCACAAGGTTTCAGTCTTAGTACCCCCCGCTCTTCTTCAGCTGCCAGATCACAAGGTTTCGGTCTTAGTACCCCCCGCTCTTCTTCAGCTGCCAGATCACAAGGTTTTCGGTCTTAGTACCCCCCCCGCTCTTCTTCAGCTGCCAGATCACAAGGTTTCGGTCTTAGTACCCCCGCTCTTCTTCTTCAGCTGCCAGATCCACAAGGTTTCAGTCTTAGTATCCCCCGCTCTTCTTCAGCTGCCAGATCACAAGGTTTCGGTCTTAGTACCCTCCGCTCTTCTTCAGCTGCCAGATCACAAGGTTTCAGTCTTAGTATCCCCGCTCTTCTTCAGCTGCCAGATCCACAAGGTTTCGGTCTTAGTACCCTCCGCTCTTCTTCAGCTGCCAGATCCACAAGGGTTTCAGTCTTAGTACCCCGCTCTTCTTCAGCTGCCAGATCACAAAGGTTTCAGTCTTAGGCTCTTCTTCAGCTGCCAGATCCAAGGTTTCGGTCTTAGTACTCCCTGCTCTTCTTCAGCTGCCAGATCAAGGTTTCAATCTTAGTACCCCCCGCTCTTCTTCAGCTGCCAGATCACAAGGTTTCAGTCTTAGTACCCCCCGCTCTTCTTCAGCTGCCAGATCCACAAGGTTTCAGTCTTAGTATCCCCGCTCTTCTTCAGCTGCCAGATCCACAAGGTTTCAGTCTTAGTACCCTCCGCTCTTCTTCAGCTGCCAGATCACAAGGTTTCAGTCTTAGTACCCCCGCTCTTCTTCAGCTGCCAGATCCACAAGGTTTCAGTCTTAGTACCCTCCGCTCTTCTTCAGCTGCCAGATCCAAGGTTTCAGTCTTAGTAGCTCTTCTTCAGCTGCCAGATCCACAAGGTTTCAGTCTTAGTACCCCCCGCTCTTCTTCAGCTGCCAGATCACAAGGTTTCGGTCTTAGTACCCCCGCTCTTCTTCAGCTGCCAGATCACAAGGTTTCAGTCTTAGTACCCCCCACTCTTCTTCAGCTGCCAGATCACAAGGTTTCAGTCTTAGTACCCCCCGCTCTTCTTCAGCTGCCAGATCCAAGGTTTCAGTCTTAGTACCCCCGCTCTTCTTCAGCTGCCAGATCACAAGGTTTCAGTCTTAGTACCCCCCGCTCTTCTTCAGCTGCCAGAGAGTTTTCGGTCTTAGTACCCCCCGCTCTTCTTCAGCTGCCAGATCACAAGGGTTTCAGTCTTAGTACCCCCCCCGCTCTTCTTCAGCTGCCAGATCCACAAGGTTTTTGTCTTAGTACCCCCGCTCTTCTTCAAGGTTTCAGTCTTAGTACCCCCCACTCTTCTTCAGCTGCCAGATCAAGGTTTCAGTCTTAGTACCCCCCGCTCTTCTTCAGCTGCCAGATCAGATCACAAGGTTTCAGTCTTAGTACCCCCCGCTCTTCTTCAGCTGCCAGATCACAAGGTTTCGGTCTTAGTACCCCCCGCTCTTCTTCAGCTGCCAGATCACAAGGTTTCAGTCTTAGTACCCCCCGCTCTTCTTCAGCTGCCAGATCCACAAGGTTTCGGTCTTAGTACCCCCGCTCTTCTTCAGCTGATCCAAGGTTTCAGTCTTAGTTTCGCTCTTCTTGCCAGATCACAAGGTTTCGGTCTTAGCTCTTCTTCAGCTGCCAGATCCTGGGTTTCGGTCTTAGTACCCTCCGCTCTTCTTCAGCTGCCAGATCACAAGGTTTCAGTCTTAGTATCCCCCGCTCTTCTTCAGCTGCCAGATCACAAGGTTTCGGTCTTAGTACCCTCCGCTCTTCTTCAGCTGCCAGATCACAAGGTTTCAGTCTTAGTACCCCCGCTCTTCTTCAGCTGCCAGATCACAAGGTTTCAGTCTTAGTACCCCCCGCTCTTCTTCAGCTGCCAGATCACAAGGTTTCAGTCTTAGTACCCCCCGCTCTTCTTCAGCTGCCAGATCACAAGGTTTCAGTCTTAGTACCCCCCGCTCTTCTTCAGCTGCCAGATCACAAGGTTTCAGTCTTAGTACCCCCCGCTCTTCTTCAGCTGCCAGATCCACAAGGTTTCAGTCTTAGTACCCCCCGCTCTTCTTCAGCTGCCAGATCCTGGGGTTTCAGTCTTAGTACCCCCGCTCTTCTTCAGCTGCCAGATCCACAAGGTTTCAGTCTTAGTACCCCCGCTCTTCTTCAGCTGCCAGATCACAAGGTTTCAGTCTTAGTACCCCCCGCTCTTCTTCAGCTGCCAGATCACAAGGGTTTCGGTCTTAGTACCCCCGCTCTTCTTCAGCTGCCAGATCACAAGGTTTCAGTCTTAGACCCCCCGCTCTTCTTCAGCTGCCAGATCACAAGGTTTCAGTCTTAGTACCCCCGCTCTTCTTCAGCTGCCAGATCACAAGGTTTCAGTCTTAGTACCCCCGCTCTTCTTCAGCTGCCAGATCACAAGGTTTCAGTCTTAGTACCCCCGCTCTTCTTCAGCTCAGATCAAAGGGTTTCGGTCTTGTAGACTCTTCTTCAGCCCAAGGGTTTCAGTCTTAGTACCCCCTCTCTTCTTCGGCTGTTTCGGTCAGATCCAAGGGTTTCAGTCTTAGTACCCCCCTCTTCTTCAGCTGCCAGATCACAAGGTTTCAGTCTTAGTACCCCCCGCTCTTCTTCAGCTGCCAGATCACAAGGTTTCAGTCTTAGTACCCCCCGCTCTTCTTCAGCTGCCAGATCACAAGGTTTCAGTCTTGGTACCCCCGCTCTTCTTCAGCTGCCAGATCACAAGGTTTCAGTCTTAGTACCCCCCCGCTCTTCTTCAGCTGCCAGATCCACAAGGTTTCAGTCTTAGTACCCCCCGCTCTTCTTCAGCTGCCAGATCACAAGGTTTCAGTCTTAGTACCCCCGCTCTTCTTCAGCTGCCAGATCACAAGGTTTCAGTCTTAGTACCCCCGCTCTTCTTCAGCTGCCAGATCACAAGGTTTCGGTCTTAGTACCCCCGCTCTTCTTCAGCTGCCAGATCACAAGGTTTCGGTCTTAGTACCCCCCGCTCTTCTTCAGCTGCCAGATCCAAGGTTTCGGTCTTAGTACCCCCGCTCTTCTTCAGCTGCCAGATCACAAGGTTTTCTTAGTATCCCCCTCTTCTTCTTCTTCAGCTGCCAGATCACAAGGTTTCACCCCCGCTCTTCTTCAGCTGCCAGATCCACAAGGGTTTCAGTCTTAGTACCCTCCGCTCTTCTTCAGCTGCCAGATCAAGGTTTCAGTCTTAGTACCCCCGCTCTTCTTCAGCTGCCAGATCGAGGTTTCAGTCTTAGTACCCTCCGCTCTTCTTCAGCTGCCAGATCACAAGGTTTCAGTCTTAGTACCCCCGCTCTTCTTCAGCTGCCAGATCACAAGGTTTCAGTCTTAGTACCCCCCCGCTCTTCTTCAGCTGCCAGATCACAAGGTTTCAGTCTTAGTACCCCCCGCTCTTCTTCAGCTGCCAGATCACAAGGTTTCAATCTTAGTACCCCCCGCTCTTCTTCAGCTGCCAGATCACAAGGTTTCGGTCTTAGTACCCCCCGCTCTTCTTCAGCTGCCAGATCACAAGGTTTCGGTCTTAGTACCCTCCGCTCTTCTTCAGCTGCCAGATCACAAGGTTTCAGTCTTAGTACCCTCCGCTCTTCTTCAGCTGCCAGATCACAAGGTTTCAATCTTAGTAGCCCCCGCTCTTCTTCAGCTGCCAGATCACAAGGTTTCAGTCTTAGTATCCCCCGCTCTTCTTCAGCTGCCAGATCACAAGGTTTCAATCTTATATCCCCCGCTCTTCTTCAGCTGCCAGATCCAGGTTTTCAGTCTTAGTATCCCCCCGCTCTTCTTCAGCTGCCAGATCCACAAGGTTTCAGTTACCTCTTCTTCAGCTCAGATCACAAGGTTTCAGTCTTAGTACCCCCCTCTTCTTCAGCTGCCAGATCACAAGGTTTCAGTCTTAGTACCCCCCGCTCTTCTTCAGCTGCCAGATCAAAGGTTTCAGTCTTAGTACCCCCGCTCTTCTTCAGCTGCCAGATCAAGGTTTCAGTCTTAGTACCCCCGCTCTTCTTCAGCTGCCAGATCACAAGGTTTCGGTCTTAGTACCCCCGCTCTTCTTCAGCTGCCCTGCCAGATCAGTACCCCCGCTCTTCTTCAGCTGCCAGATCCACAAAGTTTCAGTCTTAGTATCCCCCGCTCTTCTTCAGCTGCCAGATCACAAGGTTTCAGTCTTAGTACCCTCCGCTCTTCTTCAGCTGCCAGATCACAAGGTTTCAGTCTTAGTACCCTCCGCTCTTCTTCAGCTGCCAGATCACAAGGTTTCAGTCTTAGTACCCTCCGCTCTTCTTCAGCTGCCAGATCCAAGGTTTCGGTCTTAGTACCCTCCGCTCTTCTTCAGCTGCCAGATCACAAGGTTTCAGTCTTAGTACCCCCCTTCTTCAGCTGCCAGATCAAGTTTTCAATCTTAGAACCCTCCGCTCTTCTTCAGCTGCCAGATCACAAGGTTTCAGTCTTAGTACCCTCCGCTCTTCTTCAGCTGCCAGATCAAAGGTTTCGGTCTTAGTACCCCCCGCTCTTCTTCAGCTGCCAGATCCAAGGTTTTCAATCTTAGTACCCTCCGCTCTTCTTCAGCTGCCAGATCACAAGGTTTTCAGTCTTAGTACCCTCCGCTCTTCTTCAGCTGCCAGATCAAAAGGTTTCGGTCTTAGTACCCCCGCTCTTCTTCAGCTGCTCAAGGTTTCAATCTACCCTCCGCTCTTCTTCAGCTGCTAGATCACAAGGTTTCAGTCTTAGTACCCTCCGCTCTTCTTCAGCTGCCAGATCCACAAGGTTTCGGTCTTAGTTTCCCCGCTCTCCTCTTCTGCCAGATCACAAGGTTTTCGGTCTTGGGTTTCGCTCACCAAGGTTTCTTCAGCCTCCGCTCTTCTGCCAGATCACAAGGTTTCAGTCTTTGTACCCTCCGCTCTTCTTCAGCTGCCAGATCACAAGGTTTCGGTCTTAGTACCCTCCGCTCTTCTTCAGCTGCCAGATCCCAAGGTTTTTCAATCTTAGTACCCTCCGCTCTTCTTCAGCTGCTGCCAGATCACAAGGTTTCGGTCTTAGTACCCCCGCTCTTCTTCTTCTGCCAGATGTTTCGGTCTTAGTACCCTCCGCTCTTCTTCAGCTGCCAGATCAAAGGTTTCAATCTTAGTACCCTCCGCTCTTCTTCAGCTGCCAGATCATCAGGGTTTCAGTCTTAGTACCCCTCCGCTCTTCTTCAGCTGCCAGATCAAAGGTTTCAATCTTAGTACCCCCGCTCTTCTTCAGCTGCCAATCAAGGTTTCGGTCTTAGTACCCTCCGCTCTTCTTCAGCTGCCAGATCACAAGGTTTCGGTCTTAGTACCCTCCGCTCTTCTTCTTCACAAGGTTTCAGTCTTACTACCCCCGCTCTTCTTCAGCTGCCAGATCCACAAGGTTTCTGTCTTAGTACCCTCCGCTCTTCTTCAGCTGCCAGATCAAAGGTTTCAATCTTAGTACCCTCAGCTCTTCTTCAGCTGCCAGATCACAAGGTTTCAATCTTAGTACCCTCCGCTCTTCTTCAGCTGCCAGATCAAAGGTTTCAATCTGAGTTTAGTACCCTCCGCTCTTCTTCAGCTGCCAGATCACAAGGTTTCGGTCTTAGTACCCTCCGCTCTTCTTCAGCTGCCAGATCACAAGGTTTCAGTCTTAGTACCCTCCGCTCTTCTTCAGCTGCCAGATCACAAGGTTTCTGTCTTAGTACCCTCCGCTCTTCTTCAGCTGCCAGATCACAAGGTTTCAATCTTAGTACCCTCCGCTCTTCTTCAGCTGCCAGATCAAAAGGTTTCAATCTTAGTACCCTCCGCTCTTCTTCAGCTGCCAGATCAAAAGTTTTCAATCTTAGTACCCTCCGCTCTTCTTCAGCTGCCAGATCAAAAGGTTTCGGTCTTAGTACCCTCCGCTCTTCTTCAGCTGCCAGATCACTAGATTTCAGCCTTAGTACCCTCCGCTCTTCTTCAGCTGCCAGATCACTAGATTTCAGCCTTAGTACCCTCCGCTCTTCTTCAGCTGCCAGATCACAGGTTTCAGTTTTTCAGTCTTAGTACCTCCGCTCTTCTTCAGCTGCCAGATCACAAGGTTTTGGTCTTAGTACCCCCGCTCTTCTTCAGCTGCCAGATCACTAGGTTTCAGTCTTAGTACCCCGCTCTTCTTCAGCTGCCAGATCACAAGGTTTCAGTCTTAGTACCCCCTGCTCTTCTTCAGCTGCCAGATCACAAGTTTTCAGTTTACCCCCCTCTCTTCTTCAGCTGCCAGATCACAAGGTTTCGGTCTTAGTACCCTCTGCTCTTCTTCAGCTGCCAGCCAGGTTTCAATCTTAGTACCCTCCGCTCTTCTTCAGCTGCCAGATCACAAGGTTTCAGTCTTAGTACCCTCCGCTCTTCTTCAGCTGCCAGATCAAAATTTTCGGTCTTAGTACCCTCAGCTCTTCTTCAGCTGCCAGATCACAAGGTTTCAGTCTTAGTACCCCCGCTCTTCTTCAGCTGCCAGATCCACAAGTTTTCAGTCTTAGTACCCCCGCTCTTCTTCAGCTGCCAGATCACAAGGTTTCAGTCTTAGTACCCTCCGCTCTTCTTCAGCTGCCAGATCACAAGGTTTCAGTCTTAGTACCCCCCGCTCTTCTTCAGCTGCCAGATCACAAGGTATCAGTCTTAGTACCCCCCGCACTTCTTCAGCTGCCAGATCACAAGGCTTCGGTCTTAGTACCCCCCGATCTTCTTCAGCTGCCAGATCACAAGGTTTCAGTCTTAGTACCCTCCGCTCTTCTTCAGCTGCCAGATCACAAGGTATCAGTCTTAGTACCCTCCGCTCTTCTGCAGCTGCCAGATCACAAGGTTTCGGTCTTAGTACCCTCCGCTCTTCTTCAGCTGCCAGATCACAAGGTTTCAGTCTTAGTACCCTCCGCTCTTCTTCAGCTGCCAGATCACAAGGTTTCAGTCTTTGTACCCTCCGCTCTTCTTCAGCTGCCAGTGCCTATGAGTAGGATGCTTCTGGCTTATGCGGTAATGAATAAAAACATGCCCCTTTTATTATTATTATTTTTATTATCTTGCAATCTAAAGAATATTTTCAGGCTTTAAATAACATGCAAAAAGATTGATAAGCCATAAAACAAATCAGTCATTCAAAATTTATTTCTGTTAATGCCAAAAACGTTAATGCGAACCGAATATGGATTATCTTTCTTTCTAAAGTTAATTTCATATCTCTTAATCTCTTAGCTTCTGGCAGCCATCTTTAGCTGTCGTATTGTTCTTCGTTCTTCATTACATTATACGATAGATTTCTATACCAACATAATTTTGACGTCGCTTATACACCTTTGCTATACACTCGTTATCAAAAAAAAAATGGCTAAAAACTTATCATAGTCGATTATACTACCGTACTTCCTTGATTATCCGAACACATTGAGACAATATTCAAAATTTCGGATAACTGAATACCGAAAAGAATGAAGAAATTAATCATTTTCTGAAATAAATTTAGCATTTATATAACCAACATTTATATTAATTACTTGCGAACTCTTGCCCTCAACTTTGTGGTGTCCTGGGAATGACGATAAACTACATCCACGCTCCGGGCAAGACGATAAACAGCGAGGACTCTGAACAGGAGGTTTTGAGGAGTGTGGATCCACCTCTTAATTGCTGGTGCTCCCAGTTCCACCTATGTCTGAGTGTTAGCATCTACTAGGGTCCCAGCTATGAGCAAATAGTTAACACCCAAACTTGGGTCAAAATACTATGAAAGTGTAAAAATAGGTTTTAATACCAGAAATGCTTTGTACAAAATTTGTTACCAGCAATCATTTTTTGAAGGAAAAAATTATTACCAGCAATACTTTAAAAAAAATATAATTCTTATGCATTTTCGAAAAAAAAAATATAACCAGCTATACTTTTTTTGAAAAATAAAAGAAGAGATTTTTTGAAAGAAAAGAATATTACCAGCAATGCTTTTTGGGGAAGAAATATTATCACCAAATAAAATTAGCCAAAACAAATTGATTTCTTACAAAGAATACATATTCTATTCATACGAACCTATCCTAAAAATCTTGCCAGCATTAAATAACCCATTGAGGTGTTGATATGCCGTAAAACAAAATAAACCAAACCAAACTGATTTCTTACAAAGAATACATATTCTATTCATACGAACCTATCCTAAAAATCTTGTCGGCATTAAATAACCCATTGAGGTTGATATGCCGTAAAACAAAATAAACCAAACCAAACTGATTTCTTACAAAGAATACATATTCTATTCATACGAACCTATCCTAAAAATCTTGTCGGCATTAAATAACCCATTGAGGTTGATATGCCGTAGAACATAAGAAACCAAACCAAATTGATTTCTTACAAAGAATACATATTCTATTCATACGAACCTATCCTAAAAATCTTGTCAGCATTAAATAACCCATTTAGGTGTTGATATACCGTAAAACAAAATAAATCAAATCGTAGTCATCAGACAAATGATGGGCTATAGATATTCTTCTAACAGATATATCAAACCTCTTCATAAAAAGAAAACATCAGTTTGCTGAAGCTTTAAATGTCTTTCCAGGATACATGGTTTTCATAAGTTCTTTTGCCTTCATCTTTATTTCCACGTTACTTTGGAGCATCCACTTGATTGTCTTTCTTTCATAAATTCAACTAAACTTTGTTCCATATTTGGATATTGAGCCTTTCTTTCTCTACCTATAGCTTTGGCACTTGATTTACACATTTTTTAGTTCATTTTTATTCTTTCTCCATAAACGTATGTTAGCCTCATACAACTCATATTCTCCAGCTGCAGCTCTGTTTCCTATTCTTTCTGCTAATTCTGTTACTTTTTGGTTAAAATTTGCACTATAACTCGCACGTTTTGGTGACATTTTGACGGTAAAATAAAATGTTGTATTTATCGGGAAAACCGCCTGGTAATTTTCAACATTATTTTAGCCGCTTAGTTTTTTATTTTATTCTTAATGTCAAGGTCGACAAAATGTCTTCGTAATTATTTTTTGTTCTTTTTGGACAAAATTTATAGATGCGTATTATACATAGGGATAGATATATCTCTTAATTTTTAGATCATTTGTTGCGGTGCGTTTTATTTATAGATACGTATTATTTTCGAGAAATTACCTGATATAGTTTTCAATGATCAAAGTTGCTTTTGCTTGTTTTTTTAATACGGTAATAGCAGCAGCAGCAACCGCCATATAAGTCAGAGTTATTTGTTACCTCCCTTTGGTATTTTTTTTACTACATCATAAAGCCAGTTTACGAATCAGTAACAAACGTTTACCAAACAATTCTGTTATGCTTTTAATATTTACTATACAGGTGAGAATTTTTTTTTCATGTGAAGTGATGCCAAAAAGTTTGGGAACGTTTAATTGCTCTAAACAAGCATAGATATAGTTACCATAAATAAAAAGAGAAAGATTTCTTTTTTTTTTAAGCAAGAGAAAATTAAGCTAGCAGTTTCAGTTAACTCCACCAATAGATTCTGGATTTTATAGATTATATTTTTATAACCCATGGCTAAATGCCGAAAATCAACCACTGTTGGAAAAATATTTATGGGTGAGGAAAATTACAGCTAACACTATCATATGAAAAACGCCAATGAGACAAAAGCATACTTGTGATGTGTTGAGCTAACTTGCAACACTGTTAATCTGTCATTGCATTTTAAGCAAAAATAAATCTTTATTTTTTTTATTTCATTCCTTTTTTTAAAAATTTATGATTACTACATATGCTTTTTATAAAATTTATGGTAATTGTCTTTAAATGCTTCAAAAAGTTATCAGAGTTACGCAGTTATCCAGAGACGTATTTGTCTAGGGACGAAAATGTCCAAGGGCGAAATTGTCTGGTACGCCATTGTCTGGGACGCAAATGTCAAGTACGCAATTGCCATAGAATCTTATCATACACCTGTTCAGCATTTTCCGATGTGTTTATAAGTTCAACAATGACCTGGCCACTTAGGTGTCCCTACCCAGGGTCATCTTTTATTCTGTTTCCTTTACAGCGATGTTTACCTCGGTAAATTGCCCAATAAAAATATGTGGTCACAGCGACCGGAAATACGGTATTACCAGACTCAGTTACTGTTTCGCGCGTCTGAGAGTTGCTTAATTGCGTGACAAAGCTGTGATCTTTCAAATGTATCTTCTTTATATAAAAACGACAAGGAAATAGTTTATTGAACTAATATTATCAGCGTTTTTAATTAAAACGTTGAGGACGGTTTTCTAAATTCGCTTGTCTGGTTTCGTTTGGTTTATTTTGTTTTACGGCATATCAACGTCAGTGGATTATTTAATGCCGACAAAATTTTTTATTGCTGGTAATATTTTTTTTGTCAAAAATCTGTTTTTGGTAATATTTTTCTTTCCAAATTGTATTGCTGTAATAATTTTTTTCAAAAAAAGGATTGCTGGTAATAGTTAACTATTTGCCCATAGCTGGGACCCTAACAGGTGCTACCACCCCGAGTCAGGTTGGACCTGGGAACACCAGCAATTAAAAGGTGGTTCCATGCTCCTCAAAAGCCTTGCTGCTGGACGTAGTTTATCGTCTTACCCTGGAGGCGGATATAGTTTAATGTCTCACCCACGACGAAAAACACTTGTCTGAGATGACATATTAAAATCAGTTTAATTCGGTTAATTGTATAATGTTCGAAAAATTTAACTCTTTATCTTCACGTCAGGATAATTGGAGTCCATAAAATCGATGTATGGATAATTGAAGAAGAACTACTGTCGCTCGAAAAGTGTGTTCATTGTATTTCTCGATAATACTTCAGCGTCTGAAATGTTTTTAAATTTAAACTAAATTGGACTTGTATTTAGTTATTTAGAACATGTCGAGAATAGAACAATTTGGTCCAATAATGCGGCCTCTCCAGTTAAACAATGTGGCATAATGTAAAAGGGTTATGGATAGTGAGCTCAAAGAGACGTCTCTCATATTCAATAACATGATGTGATTAACGTAAAAAACGACATGTTACAGGACCACCTAAGTACACGTCGCCATGTGTTGATGTGGATTTGTCCATGAAATGCAAATATGAAGTTAATAAATATTTGTCTTGATATTTGTACTCAGGCAGGGCTGATGCGTATTCTTTTATCGTAAACGGGTTACCTCTCAAGACAATAGAGTCCATTCCGCTTTCTTACTTAATCTAAAGCATGGGTGTTAAATTTATCTTAGTTCAGGGCCACATATCAACCCAATATGATCTCAAGCGGGCCGGACCAGTAAAATCATGGCATACGAATCTATAAATTTTCCTTTAGTTTTAGTGTAAAAAAGTACATTGCAAGAATTTTCATATTTAAAGAACACTTTTTTTTTCTTTTTTTTATGAAACATTGAACAAGTGTGAGCCTTGTGCAAAACTTTGTTTTATTGATGCTCATTACAGAGAAAAACAATATTTACATTATTCGGACTATTGTCCTCATCTTTGGCGACAAAGACGAAGATAATATAGGCGTTACGTATGGGTTGCCATATCACATCGAGGTACGGTGGTTAAATCGAGGTACTCTGTTGAAGCGTTTCTTTAATCTACAAGAAGTAATTAAACAAGTCAAGGGGAAAAGGGCACCAGTGTTAAAATGTCAATCACCAGAATGGCTGCAGAAGTTAGCTTGAATAATCTGGACAAAATGCTGCAAGACCGTAAAATAGTTCTCACAAAGTATTTTGAAAGCATACGCGCTTTCAAGTTGAATCTAATTTTCTAGACTACAGAATTGTCATGTGGTGACCGGTGACCCTGCTCATTTTCCTTAACTAAAAGATGTGGTTGACATGAATCGGGGTACAAAAGCAATATCGCGGAATTACTGCAAGAGATTGAGCAACGGTTTCAGATTTTTGATGAACATGAGGCAATGTGGGGTAATGGATAGCCGAGTTCGAATCCCCGTCGAATCCATTACATTCACTTACGTTCTAATACCCTTGGGAAAAGTGTGAATCCTCTTCTTCTCCCTCCAGCTATGGGTAAATAGCAGGACAGACTGGGTTCTATAGCCTTGGATGGCAACTGGTCTAGGAGAAGGAAAACTCTGAATTCAAAACCTGCGGAGGGTCGTTTGGGGACCTTGTGGCACGTAGTGCACCAAGTCTCTGTATTCGGCCCTTCAAAAGGTGTGGATGGTCCTGCACGAAACCTTCACCACTATAATCAAATCTCATGTGCTACACATGCGGGTTGGGGACTGCTTGTGAATTCCAAATTCCCATGAATCTCCAATATTGGCGCCGGCTCAACCCACCCCGGGTGAATGCAGGTACAGGTAGGTATTTTTGATGAACAGATTTCACAGATTTTTGCTCGCAATTTACAGTCAACGCCCCGAATCGGCCTGTCGATATCCAACTTGAAATGATTGAATTGCAGCGTGATTCAGATTTGAAAAACTAATTTACATCGGTGGGCCTGGACACATTTTATCAGTATCTCTTCCCAAAGTACCCCAAACAGTATTTCTTTCCAAAGTACCCCAAACAGTATCTCTTTCCAAAGTACCCCAAACAGTATTTATTTCCAAAGTACCCCAAACAGTATTTCTTTCCAAAGTACCCCAAACAGTATTTCTTCCCAAAGTACCCCAAACAGTATTTCTTTCCAAAGTACCCCAAACAGTATCTCTTTCCAAAATACCCCAAACAGTATTTCTTTCCAAAGTACCCCAAACAGTATTTCTTTCCAAAGTACCCCAAACAGTATCTCTTTCCAAAGTACCCCTTGCTGTGAAAGTTTTGTGCCTGTTAGGGAACTACCTACCTTTGTCAACAAGTTTTCTCTGTAATAAGCATCAATAAAACAAAGATGCTCACACATAAGCATCTTAATGACATCCTGAAATTGGCTGCTACTCAGGAAAAACTTGCATTTTTGGCCGAGCCTACGGGCTCGGATACTCCGCATTAAATTCGGCCTTGTGCCACATCTGACGGTTGGCAGATATCCTGCAGTTGGATATTCATTGTGGAATTCACTTGACTCACTTCTAGCAGTTGACTACTACTTCTACGCGCCGCTGGCAAATCTTATATGTTGCTTTTGTCCTAAGTATTATCGTTCATTACCGACCTTCATGTTATTATTCTATTACAACAATAATGCTTCCATTATTTTTATCCTTTTTTTGATATATATATGGATGAGGTTATTATGTTTGTATTATCAACGAGCTGCGGATAAAATTTGGTCGATCTCCATGTGGGAGATGAAACTGTCAGGTGGTGACAGTGTTCATTTTTCTTGTCTAAAAGATGTGATTGCGACAACAAACAATGTTGACATGAATCGGTACAAAAACATTATCACGTGATTGCTGCGAGAGTTTGAGCAACGGTTTCAGATTTTTGATGAACTTGAAATAAATTTCACAGTTTTTCGGTCGCCATTTACAGTCAACATCTCTGATCCGCCTGTCAACATCCAAATTTAAATGATTGACTTACAGTGTGCTTTAGATTTGAAGAACCAATTTACATCGATGGGCCTGGACACATTTTATCAGTATCTCTTGCCAAATTACCCCAAATTGACAGCCCTTGTTTTTTGCCTATTCGAGATTACCTACCCTTGTGAACATGTTTTTCAGTATCTGTCTATATTTCTGAGATGAGGTATTATGTACACTATTTACATTATTCGGACTAGTGTTCTCATCTTTGTCGCCATATTTATTACAAAGTTTCGGCCTTTCAGTATCTGTGTATATTTCTGAGATGAGGTATTATGCACACTATTTACATTATTCGGACAATTGTCCTCATATTTGTCACCATATTTATCACAACGTTTCGGCCTTTCAGTATCTGTGTATATTTCTGAGATGAGGTATTATGTACACTATTTACATTATTCGGACTATTGTCCTTATCTTTGTCGCCGTATTTATTACAACGTTTCGGCCTTTCAGTATCTGTCTATATTTCTGATATGAGGTATTATGTACATTATTTACATTATTCGGACTATTGTCCATCTTTGTCGCCATATATATTACAACGTTACAATCAACGACACAAGGACACATGGCACATTGGATAAAGGCGTTGTTTAGTGACAGGACCCAAAACGTGTGAGTTCAATACCCGGTTAAGGCAGTGGAAAACTTGGAGTGGGGAATTAACAGGAGATAACTGACATTCATTAAACATAATGTAAATAGTGTCCAAAAAATAACGATCTCTATTTTCAGTTTGCACTTTCTCTCTGGACTTCGTCGCAGCACCTTTTTTTTCCCCAATCGTTGGTGAAGCGCGATCTGTAGCCACGCGACCTGCAGGGGCCTAGTCCACTCCGGCCCTGTCCAGTGATCCAACGAGAGCGATGAAAATTTGCTGTTGTGATGTCCCTCATAGGAACCAACTCCAGAGACTCCTTGGTGATGGTCAAAGTCTTGTCTACACCACGAATGAATACGCCTAGTTGCGCAACATCCGTAATGTCCATGCTCTATTCAGTTGGAACCGAAAATGCAATAAATGACTTGATTTTTGTACTTCAGTTGCCTGTCTAAATGTGCAAAAAGATCTGGAATCCTATCTACCACAATGTTTCTCGTCAGGCTAATGCTGGCAAAAATCTTATCGCTTTTCAGGGCATACAATTTCTGCAGTCCTCAGTGTGTATGTTTCACGAACTTGCCCTGTCATTACGGCTTTGATGTTGATGTTATTTCTCTAGCAACGAGGTAGCTAGCGTTTACTGCTGCTTGACTGATATTTCAGCTTTGGGTTAAGGCAGACTGTTATTACTGTTAGATTTATAACAATTTATTTGCCTTCTCTTTTCTTGTTTGTCCTTGTAAGCTATTGGAAATGTCGACATAGTAGCGCCGAATGTTATATTTGAACCTAAACCCACCAAGCCCACGGGTTTCCCATTCACCTCGACGAATAAATCAGAGAAGGACCACTTTACTTGAAATGATCTGTATCAAAATTTTCTTCTTTTTTGACAAGGATATTTTGGGTCAAACAAAGCGAAATGTTGACCTAAAAAAAAAGAAAACGTTGCTAGCCATTGAATTAATTTTTTTTTTAAAAGTCAGTAAATATAAATTTTACGCATTTCAAAGACATCTCGCGATCCGGGAGAAACACTGCAGCGAACTAATTCAGGATATAGGGTCGTATGTTTGACATCTCTGATACACGCATTTCTATATTAACACAAAGTAGAAAGCAACAGACTAGGCTGGAATTTGAACTCGGTCCGCCGGTTCTACTTTCCTGCGGATAACCATTACGCCACTTACACGTCCTAAGTGGTTTATAATATTAATTACTTATACTAATACTACTACTATTTAGTCCTGGGTAAGACGATAAACTACATCCGACAGCAAGGCCTCTGATCAGGAGGTTTTGAGGAGCGTGGAACCAACTCTCTTAATTGCTGACGTTCCCAGGTCCACCCTCACCCAGATTGGTAGAACCTATTAGGGTCCCAGCTATGGGTAAATAGTTAACTCCCAAACTGGGGTCAAAACGTGTAAAAATAGGTTTTAATACCAGCAATACAATTTTGTAAAAAATTATTACCAGCAATGAATTTTTTTAAAAAATTTGTTACCATCAAAACAGTTTTCAAAAAATATTACCAGCGATAAAAATCTTGTCGGCATTAAATAACCCATTAATGATGATATGCCGTAAAACAAAATAAACTAGACCAAACCGATTTCTTACAAAGAATACATATTTTATTCATATGAACCTATCCTAAAAATCTTGTTGGTATTAAATAACCCATTGAGGTGTTGATATGCCGTAAAACAAAATAAACCAATCCAAACTGATTTCTTACAAAGAATACATATTCTATTCATACGAACCTATCCTAAAAATCTTGTCGGCATTAAATAACCCATTGAGGTGTTGATATGCCGTAAAACAAAATAAACCAAACCAAATTGATTTCTTACAATGAATACATATTCTATTCATATGAACCTATCCTAAAAATCTTGTCGGCATTAAATAACCCATTGAGGTGTTGATATGCCGTTAAACAAAATAAACCAAACCAAACTGATTCCTTAAAAAGAATACATATTCTATTCATACGAACCTATCCTAAAAATCTTGTCGGCATTAAATAACCCATTGAGGTGTTGATATGCCGTAAAACAAAATAAACCAAACTAAACTAATACTACAACTACTACGACTACTACTGCAGAGAATATTTTTCCTGTTTTAACACGGACAAAGAAATTCCTTATGCAATACCCACCACCATTTTCACTTTTCATTAATCTCTTGCTTGACTCATGAAAACTTTCCAATCTAATTTATACTTCCTGTGTTTTTATAAGTCAGCCGGGGACAGGAACTCCCATCTAGTTCGGCTTACCCCGAATACCACCCGTTCCAATTATTTTCTCTTAACACCGGATGTGGGATTCAGTACCGGTTTAGATAATGGGCTTTGTCCCCGACCCATAGAAAAACACTGGATGCACCATTTTGTATTTGTCTCCTGGATACATAATCTAGAAGACAAATGCAAAATGGATTATATGACAAGAATTGTATTTCTCTCATTCAACCACGAATAAAAAGTGTGCTTAACTGGTCAGACATATACAAACAAAAATCCAATCATAATCTAAATTAAATGGTCAAAACAAAAGCAATAAACTAGAGATCAACAGAGAAGAATAAAAAAAAATAATAAAGGAGGAAAAAATTTTAAAAAAGGAAAGGGAAGTCAGCAATCAGTGAACACCCACCAAGCGAAAAGGAAAATAACACACTCATACCACAATAAAAGTTCAAAAGAATCGAGAAATATCGGCAAACTCTGTTCTGACGAGTGGTCACATCTATGTAACCACGAAACTTCGAAGTAAACATGAGTTAAGTGAAAAAAACTTTTCAATTCTTGATATATCTATATCGATAATTATCATTTATCGATATATCATTTCAATTATCAATATATCATTTCAATATATTATTTCAATTATGAATATATCAGTTATCGATATATTATTTTAATTATCGATATATATGCTTATCTTAAATGTCTCCTTATCAGCAAACTGCTGAAAAACCTGCAATTTTGGCCCCCAAAAGTGTCTTTCAAATTAACACCACACACACACACACACACACACACACACATATATATATATATATATATATATATACAAATGAAATAAGAACGAAAATTGATGTTCACCACCTGATATATATATATATATATATATATATATATATATATATATATATACGTATTTTTGTGTATTTAGGTAGCAAACTCTCTTTTAGGCATGTCTGATTGAATAGATTACAAAGATATATAAGTATATATATATAAAAGCATATATAAATAGTTGAGATAAACCACAACACACATGGCCTGAAGATTGCATTCAAGCATGAAACAGTCGCTGCTTGGTGTTGCCGTATATCTCTTTTAAATTTAGCATATCTTAAACTATATTTTTACCATAAATTCTACTAATGCTCTATTTCTATCTTCGATATTGTGCACTTCTACCACAAACCCTGTTTGTCTTAAATGCCTTCTTATAAAAAAAAACTTTGAAAAATCAGCAATTTTGGCCCCCAAAATAGTCTTTTAAATTAACACTATACATATATTCAAATATGTATATAATATAACAAAAAATATAGTTTTAAGTTATTCTATTTATGGATTTGGAGGCACGGTTGAATAATGAATGGCAGCTCAGATTGAGGAATCGGAGAACCGATTTTGAATTTCAGTCGAATTACATTCACTTACTTTCCTGGGGAGAAGAAGATGATTTATACCTTTCAGGACAGACCGG